CTTCCCTCCCCATCTTCCAAATATCTTCCCTATGAAAGTCATTTCCCTGGCAGCAGCATACTACCAGGGAAAAGCCTTGGAAAACCAGAGGGTCTGCATTACCAGCCCTGCCTGGTATTTAATTTAATGCAAATTAGAATTACAAAGAGAAATTAATATTCATAACGATGTCTAAAATTACAAGGCCTGATGATAGCAAGTGTTGATGAGAATGTGGAGCAACTGGAACTCTTATATGTTGGTGGTATAGCCGAAGCTGGCACAATCAATTTGGAAAACTGTTGGATACTATATACTAAAGCTAAACACATGTATGCCCAATGACCCAGCAATTCCACTCATATATATATATATATATATATATATATATATACCCAAAACAAATGCAAGACTGTTCATTGCAGCTTTATCCAGAATAGTGAAAAACTGGAAACAACTCAAATGTCCATCAATAGGAAAATGGATAAATAAATTGTGGTATATTTTATACAATGGAATACTATCTAACAACAAAAAAGTACTGTTACACACAACATGAGTGAGTTTCACAGGCATAATGTTAAGAAAAAGAAGCCACACACGAACGAGTGTGTATTCATAATTCTATTTACATGAAGATCAAAAACAGGCAAAACTAATCCATGGTGATAGAGGTAACAATGATTTTGGAGGGCAAATACTGACTGGAAGGGAACACAAGGGAGCCTAATGAGATGCTGAAAATGTCTCCTATCTTTGTCTGAGGGTGGATACCTCCTGGGTGTATACAAATGTAAAAATTCATCAAGTTGTATGCTACTTAGGATTGATGTAGTTTACTGTATGTGGGCTATACCCTAACAAAGAGATGAATGAACAAGTGGACAGAGGGCTCTCTGGAGTTTCCTATACTATAGCCCAAGGAATAGGGGTTAGTGTGGGGAAGGCCCATTCTCAGGTCCTTGCAAATTTAGATGATTCTCACCACCTCTTCTGTGGTAACTCTGCCTGACAGGATCTCACCTAAACAATCTGTGCATACTTAACATTCTGAACTTGTGGGGACACACTTGGACCCCCCAGAGTTGCTATAGAAATATTTTAAAGTAGAAACGTTAAAGCAATAGAAGATGTAGAAAGAAATGTAATCTGAACTTCCCTTAACTAAAGCAGAGCCTTCCAAAAATACACCTGCCATTAGTGTCCTTCTGAGTGATTTTCTAGCCAATTCAGTCTGCCATGGAGACAGACTGCCTAATAGAACCTTCTGTACCCATGGAAGCCCTAAACCCCCCACCCTTCCACTCCCACTCCTTCATTATGTTTGGTATATAAACCTTGATCTCTGGCTATTCAGTGAGTTATTCAATACTGAGCAACTTCCTGGTGCCCTTGTCACTAAACTTGGTCTTTTCACCTGTTCATCTGTCTGTTCTTAATCAATGTGCAGACCCTCAATCACCAGACCCATGTTGAAGGAGAAAAAAGTTTTTCCTCCCAACAAACCCAGAACAACTTAGCTGTGGCCTGGAGCTGGGCTATATCTCAGTGGTCTAGCAGATTTATAACCTTGTATTTTGAGGACATTTGACCAAGTTGACTCTTTTATCAGACTCTTGGCAGGCCAGTGCTTTGGGCTTTACTTGATAGCCCTTGTCCTGAGCCAGGTTCATCCCTATAATATGCACCGGTTTTATTGTGGACAGAGGGGTTCTAAACACTCTGATGAAAGAGGCAGACCCAAAAGGCACTGATGACAACTCCATCCTTCCAGTTGTTCAAGCTGAGAAGTCTGTACTTATTCTTGATTTCTATTTGTTTGACATCCCACATCAATGTGGCAGGAAATCATGTGGACTCTATTTTCAAAATACATCCAGAATCTGATCAACTCCCACTACTTCCTCTGCTACCTCCCCTGTCAGAGCCACCCTCCTGTCTTGCCTGGACTAGGGAAAAAGCTCCCATTCTTAGTGCAGCTGCCAGACCGATCCTTCTAAAGTTAGATCCCATGGCTCCATCTGTTCATAACTTCCCAGGCCCCATCTGTTCCCACCTCACTCGGAGTACCAGTCCCAAGACTGGCAAAGCCCTGTATCATCTACACCCTCACTCTGTCCTCCTATCCCTCAAATCTGCCCCTAGTGTGCTCTAGTCACATGGGCCTTTTGATGCTCCTTGAACTTGCTCCTGCCTTAGGCCTCTGGACCTTTCTCTAGAAGTTCCCACTGCCTGGAATGCTCTTCTCCAGGTATAACTTTCTCACCAATTTCAGGTCAGTGCTCAGCTCTCACCGTGCTATTTCACACAGCAAGCTGTACCTCCCCCCTGCCTCCCCCCAATACCAGGTTCCTTTTGTCTTTTTTCCTTCTTTTCCCCATAGTATTCATCCCTACATAATTCACTTATTTGTTGTGTTTATTGTTTGCCATCTTTCTTCACCAGGAAGTTAGTTCCATGAGGTTAGGTATCTGTTTTACTTAGTGACATATTGCAAATGTTGGCATATAGTAAGTATCCCATATATGTTTAAGTTAACGAAACCAGCCTCCAATGCTCGCTCAGGGTGAGAGCTGAGTTGGGCTGAAAAAAAAAAAAAGTCCAGAAACTTTCTGGATAAGTTTATTATGACCCAAGGGTCAATAGTCATGTGCCGGGGCACCTGTGTGGCTCAGTCAGTTAAACGTCCAACTTCAGCTCACGGTTCATGAGTTTGAGCCCCATGTGCTGACAGCTCAGAGCCTGGAGCCTTCTTTGGATTCTGTGTCTCCCTCTCTCCCTCTGCCCCTCCCCCGCTTATACTCTGCCTCTCTCTCTCTCTCTCTCTCACAAAAACAAATAAAACATTAAAAGAAAAAAATAGTCATGTGCCCAGGCTTGGAAATTCCCCCAGATGTAGAGGAAAATGGACCCAGCAAAATTCAGCAAACCCAGGGAGGTATTTAGCCAGACTTCCCTCCCAGTGGGTTCCTGGTTAGATCCCATCACAGGCAACTGGGCTGGAGCTGAGATGTTGTTCACTTAAATGATGACAGGAAAAAGGAAATGGTGAGGGGAAGTCCGCGGTGGGCATGAGAAAGGCACCTGAAATGCATCAGTCTGTAGGTTAAGCCACTGGCTGCTGGAATGAGGAAGTCCCTCTCCCAGCCCTGGCAGGGCAGAGAGGTAGCTCACAAGGGGAGGGAAGTGGCAGAAAGGAGCTGCATTCTTTCTTTCTTTTTTCATTTCAGTGATGTATTTATTTTATAACTGGAAGTTTGTACCTCTTACTCCCTTCACTTTACCCATGCCCGCATCCACCTCTCCTCTGGCAACCACCAGTTTGTTCTCTGTATTTAAGAGTTCTGTTTGGTTTTGCTGGAGTTTCTTCCGTCTTCTCTAGGGGGAAGCCCCACACTAGATCTCATGCTACAAGACAGGGCCAAACAGAGTTCAGGGCCTCCTCTCCTCTTCTGAAATCCCCCAGGGGGATATCCATCCTTCCTTTTGATAAAGTGAAGGATTTAGGTTGAATGGGAGGGTAGAAAGGTTCAGCCTGTCGGGAATACTCTACAGATCAACCATGTTTTTGGAACTGGGGTCCAAGATCTCTGACTCCACGTGCTGGACTGTGTCCCAGGTGGACCTGTTCACGCTCTTCTCATGGAGTCTCCCCACCACGTTCTGGAATGACTCTCTCCTTCTTCCAGGCAGCAGAGTTGTTTGTTTGTTTGTTTGTTTTTCATCTCAATGCAGGGTGAAGTTCCAGAAGACAGTGTTGTACACCCAATGCACAACCTCAGACTGCATGGCCAAGAGGACCTTGTTGATGGAAGCCCAGAGAGGGAAAATAACTTGTCCAAGATCACACAGTTCCTGGGCCACTTTTAAGGAAGGAGCTGGAAAGAGAACTTAGGTTTTCTGACTGCACTTTGAAGTTCCTTCCAGCAGTAAGATTTTGTGATTTCTTGATGCTGATCCACTCTACTATAGAGTGGCTTTCATCACAAAACTCTGGCCCTGAAATCTCCCAGGTACCTTGTCTGCTGCCACTGGCTGTGGCCACAGAAGCCCATTCCTTGGCCCCTGGAAGGGGTAACATTCTTTTCTAGGGTATTTGGAAATACATTCTTCAGCCTCATTCCCCTTCTTATAGCCAAATCCCCTAAGCTTCTGTAAGTTGGCACCTTCCCACTTCCCTCCTCCCAGGCTCTGTGACTCCGATCTGCACACTTTCCCTTTCCCTTCTCCTGGCTAGTGCCTTTCCCGTTCCACACCTCCAGTCTGGACACGGTCTTGACTCTGGCAGGGATGCAGAATCACGGGAATCATTGGAAAGATGTTAGAGATCAGAGTCCTGCTCCACACTGTCTCCTGCAGACTTTGGGGGGCTGTCCCTTCTCTCTACTGCTTGAGGATCAGGATAGATGTCAGGGCTCTCATTCATTGAGCACCTAAGATGTACATGTATTCCACGAGCAACCAGTATGTAGCAGGCACTGTGTAAGAGACTTACTCTCTCATGTCGTCCTCACAGAATGGCCCAGCAAGTTAAAGATTACTCCCATTTTATAGATCAGGAGGTTGAGCTTCAGAAAGATTCTTTAATTTGCCCTAGTCATAGAGCTAATAAAGGGTAGGATTAGAAATGAAACCCAGATGTGCTGAACTAAAAGCCTAAATCCCATGCACAAGGGGTGGGAGAAGAGGGAAGGGTTGTAGAAAGGGGGGAAATGTGAAACACTATCTTCCATGGCCTCCCTGGCTGCAGGACTGAGGGGTGAATATCACTGTGGGAATGATTTTATATCTTCCAATCAAACTTCAGAGAGGAGAGGTCACTGGGCCAGGGAGGCAGCAGGGGTATTTTGCTGACAGCCCTTGACATGCACCCTGCTACCTCTCAGCCTGTGCATTTATGATCACCTGGCTGCTTCTGGAAACTACCCAGCCACACCAAGGCAGGTGGCCCGCCCCTCCTCTCTGGGTTGAGGAAGCAGGAAAAGGTGGCAGTGAGAGGCTTTGGGCAGACGTGCTGGGCAATGATGGCCGGAGCTCCTGTTAGGATGGGCTTTCTCTGGGGCCTGGCTCTGCCCCTTTTCTTCTGCTGCAAGGCTGGGGCCCCCGGGAGCTCTGCAGGTAAGGAGGTGTGGGCTGCTCTCCTCACAGGGCTCTGGGTGTGAGTTTCTGTACCGGCAGCCCTTTGTGGTTGATTAATTAGAATTAACCATAAAGCTATATCTGAAGTATTACTATTGTTGATAAAGAGTGTGCAAATGGCAGTGTGTCAGCTTACGCACGTATGACACTGCAGCCCGTAGGATGAATGATGTCCTCGTGCCCTGGCTGCCGGTTGTCTCTGCGGGGAGTGTGTGAGGTGGAGGGTGGGAGGGGCGAGGGAGGTGCCGGCAGGGGATAAATCTGACTAAAGCCAAAGAAACAGCTTGACAAGATTCCAACTCCTCCAAGTTTATTTCCTAGCCCAGATTTCCTTTAAAAAATAGTTTTTGTGTGAAAAGTCCAACCATTACAGACTGCCTGGGGAGGGCGGATTCTGAGAAGGGCAGGGCTTTTATGAAAGAGACTAACGTGGATGTGTCATAGGAACTGTGCCATGCTTGTCACATGCATTGTCTTTATTATCTTTTTAATAGACTTTTTATTGTAGAGCGGTTTTGGGTTCACAGCAAAATTGAGCAGAAAATACAGAGATTTGGTTCACATATAACCTCTGCACCCCCCCATACCTAATCTCCCCTCATTATCAACATCCTGCATTATCTTTTTCTTTTTTTTAATGACTATTTTTTAGAGCAGTTTTAGTTTCGCAGCCAAATTGAGAGGAAGGAACCGAGACTTCCTATATGCTCCCATGCACCATCTTTTTAATCCTCTCAGTAACCTCATGAGAGAGACACGGGTCTTGTTATTACCCGTCTCTCTCCACAAGATGGGACTGAGGCTTACCATCTTGCAACTCATCTGCAAAGCCAGAATGTTATTCCGCATGTGCCTACCACTAGGACCATGTTGTCTCTTGCACGCACTCATGACCTGCCAGGCATGTGCTGCACATTTTACATTTAATTGAACTTAGTCTTCACAACCCTATGAAATAGGTACCTGTAGCTCCATTTTATAGATGAGAAAAATGCACGCTTGAGCCAGGAGACTTGGCCGGGGTCAGATGTTTGGTAAGCAGCGGAGTAAACAGCAGAGAAGGGACTCGAACTCAGGATCTATAGTACACATGCTTTCCTCTCTGCTTTTTTTGATCTGAGGAATGGACCAAGAAAGCTGCAGCATTCTAGAGCTGTAGAGGATTGGGTAGGCTTTGCTGTGTTTGAGAAGACCTCTGGCGGGTAAGAAACTTGGGTGGGGTTGTGAGAGCCCCAAGGGGTGTGAAGAAGCTACGGGGTTGGAAGCGTCAGGAGGTTTCACAGCAGGATGGTATCACAGGGTTCCAGGAAAAGGAAGAAAATACTTCAGGGGAGGTGGATGGTCAGACCCCAAGAGCACCACTGTTTGGGCTCTAGGCTGGGTGGGTTGACACAGCTTTGCTTTCACTGTGTGGGGACTGAGGAAGCTCAGAGAAATATCTTGGGCTTTGAAGTGGGGAGGAGAAAGTATATTCCTGTAAAAGCATGATTGCAGAACAACTAATGAGAGTGAATGCCATGACTGACCTGATATGCATGTGGGGACAGCCTGACATTCTCACTGCATTAAAGTTGGTTGTGTCCTCTCAAGTGACTCTTTGAGAAGACAAGGCTTGGGAGGGATGCTTAGTAATCCCTTACAGTCTTTGGAAAATAAGACTTTCCCATCCTCCTTCTCCTCTGGTCCTCACCATTATGGCAAGGCAGATATGATCACCCTCTTTCACAAGGGAGGAAATGGAGGCCTGGAGAGGCCTGGTGGACTAACTTGGCTAGTAGGAGGCAGAGTCAGGATTTGAACCAGTCATTGGACTCCAGAGCTAGTAGGCAATAGGCCTGGGGCTGGAACCCAATCTCTTGCTTCCTGGCCCAGTGTTCTTTTATTGTTCAGAGAGAGACACAATGGACAAACTGAGGACCTGGGGCCCTGTCCTGACAGCCAGCCAGGGACGAGGTGACCAACTAGTCCTGTACTTCCATTGGGTCCTTGGATACTTTTGGGCCAGTAGATCTCAGTAAAGACCATCTAAAACCATCAGAACCCTGAAAAGGAGGGCTTATATTTTGATTCTTTTCCTTCCAAGAGTAAGGTTACTGGATAAAACACAGGGAATCAGCTTAAATTTGAATGTCAGGTAAGAAAGCTTTTTCCAGCAGTATGTCTCAAATATTATGTAAGAAATACACATACTGAAAACATTATTTGTCACTGAAATTATTGCTTGTTTATCTGAAATTCAAATTTGAGTTTAACTGGGCACCCTGTATTTTTAATTGATAAATCTGGTAACCCTCCCTGAAAGGGTCCTTGGCCCACTTACAGAGGGAACTCTTCCTCCTTAGTAGATGGGAGAGGCATGCTTATCAGCCCATAAAAAGATCCTGCTGTAGCCTCCCCAGGGCCATAGGTGCCATTCGGCCCACTGTGCATACAATCTCACAGCGTCCATCAAATGAACAGGGATGCTCTGCCCTGTAGAGAAATGCTAGTGGCATCTCTAAGGAGTGAAGTTTGCCTCACTTGGCTCCATGTTTCCAGTGGAACATGCCTGGTGCATCATTTCTGTAGTTCTGGGATCTTATCCCTGACACATCAGATGATGGGACCCCAGGGTTCCTTGCTGGAGCCCCAAGGACTCTGCCTGCTCTCTTCCCTTTTGCAGTAGCCACCACCCACTCTGTCTCTGGAGGCTCCTCTCTCCCAGTCCTCCCAGATACCTCTAAATACAAAACCACAGATGTTTCCTGTATTTGAAGAGTTTTCACTTCCATGGGGAAACATTTGCTGGATGAGTAAAGTATCAATGGAAAGTGACAAGGATTCTTTGAGAAGGTTCTGAGAGTCGTGATTTTTGCTCTGTAGTTGCTGGTTCACTTAGACTTATGCCTCCTTTTCTCCCCCTTGAAGCTGGATCCTGGCCCCACGCATTCCCCCTGATGGCTTCAGACCAATAATCAACTAGATTCTGAGGCTTGCTTGCCTCAAGTGGGTCATCAGAGGACATCAGTCAGGTGATCCCAGTTCCATGGCTGACACATGGGACTGGTCTTCCCAATACCACCTCCTTCTTTCTTGTATGTATAGATGAAAAATGGAGTAAAAACAACTTCCCCTCCCCACCTTCCTCCCAGTAGTGCCCAGGCCATAAACACAAGGGCTTGTGTGAAGTCAGTCCATGGGGACTCATGGCTTACAAAGGTGGTCTTACCCAACACAGGCCCTAGCACCAGCAGACCAGGCCCTTTGGTGACAACAAACCACATAGAAGTGACTACCATGACTCCGGGGATCAAGACAAGTTCACAGGGAGCCTTCCAGATGACTGACCTTGTTGAGACCTCCGTGCAAAGCCACATCCCTTTGGAAACTCAAACCCTGAGCACCCAGACCTTTGATAGGACCTTAATCCTGGCCAGCACCATTTCAGATGCAGAGATCAGGGAAACCAAGACCATTTTTCCTGCAACAGAGACCAGGGCCTTCACAAAAATGATACCTTCCAAATTCATGGTTGTGATCACCACTCCTATGGAGGCATCAGCCGCAAGTGGCAGCCCCACAGGAACTGGAATGACCACAGTTGAGACAGTTATAGGCACCGATCTCGTGGAATCTGTCTTTGACACCCTTTGTACCGATGACAGCTCGGAAGAGGCAAAGAGGATCGTAATTGACATCTTGACATTGGCTCACACCTCTGCAGAAGCCGAGGCCCTGACCTCAGAGAGCAGTGCCTTCTCTGACAGCTCAGTTATGGCCATTGCCACCTCACAGGCCCTGGCATCTGACACCACTGTTCCGGCTAAGGCCTTGCTTGCCTACACCATCACCGACACTGAGGTTACCAATTGCAGCATTGTAGAAATAGAAACAACTGCCACCACTCCCGGGACCTTGGACACAGATCATGATCCCACAGGAGGAAAGGCCCTGTCAGCCTCTGAGGTGTCAGCTTTGCTTGATTCCACTGAATCAGAATCAGACTTCACCAAGACCATGACATCTGCTGAGACTGTGTCAGGAGCCAGAGGCACAGAACCAGTCATGCCTGATACCACAGTTGAGACCCCGCGACCTGTTAATAGCACCATAGAAGGAGAAACAGCAGCAGCCAAGACCACTACCCCCAGCACAACTTTGGTGACAGTCAGCACGAACCCCTTGGAAGAAACTTCAGCCTTCTCTATTGAGACAAGTCACACCGAGGTCTCAGTTACAATCTCCACAGGGACTGGGTCAACTGTGGGCAACGTGGCTCCCCCTGCTGGACTCTCAGATAGGGCCTACAGCCACACCCAAGCAACCACTAGCAAGAACTCCACCCCCTCAGAGACTTCAACCACAGACAGCACAACCAATGGGTCCATCCCCATCAGCAGGAACACCTTTCCTTCTGTGCATCTGACTGTGGCCAACAGCAGCCCAGAGGCAAATATCACCTTAGTCAAGACCACAGCCTTAGCAAAGACCTTGAAGACAGCCAGCATGACTGAATGGAAGCCCCCAACAGCCATGCCCACCACTGCTCAGACAAGGTGGACCACAGAAGTTACTGCAGGTAAGTGGCTCTTGGAGGTGTGATCTTGGGGATTTGGAGCTGGGAATTTCCAGAATGTCTACATGCTTAAGGGATAGGGAGGAAGGAAGGATCTGGAGGCTTATTCTGAGCCCAGTCTCTGAGGTCACGTCTTCATGATCTTCTAGTGATTCTTGCCAAAATCAGAAACAGGAAGAGTTAGGAAGGCATATGGAAAAACTGTGGGGTTGGAAGTCTGGAGAAATAGTTTGAGACCCTGGTTTTGCCCTTAACAATCTAGTGGCCTAGAACAGGTCCTTTTCCTTTCTGGGCCTCAGTTTCTCCACCAGTAACTGCAGGGGGCTGTGTTGCATGAACAATGACGTCCTTTCCAACTCTGCCCTTCTGTGATATTAACGGTTGAGTAACTACTGTGTGCCGGGTGAGGCCCCAAATTGTATTCAAAAGCCACAGTCCTCATGCTCTGGAAACCTCTGGTTCAGCTAGAGTCACACAGAGGGCCACTGTGTGAATGTCTGGCCCAAGTTGCTGCCCCCTGAGCAGCTGGGACCCCATAAGAGTGGGGCTTGCTGGGCTTGGAGCCATAGACAGTGACTTTAAATAAATGAATAAATTGGGCAAACGTTTGGGCATTTAAAGCTACATGTCTGAGACAACAGATACTTCTCAGGGATGAGGCCCCTTCATCAGAGGCTGCTGGGTCAACCCAGCTTCTGGTCAGCCTGGAGCCTCCACCTCTACTTCCTGTCACTGTCCTCATGCCTCATCCCTGTGGTGTCCTCAGCTGGCCCTGCCTCGGTGGGGAGGTGAAATAAAAATATTAATCACGATCACCTTACTGAACATCTTTTGTATTCCAGGGAGAGATCATATAAAAATATTTCACAATCAGTGAAGCATTGGCACTGGCTGAATGTTCTCACTGATGTCAGGCAGTGAACTACGAGCTTTGCATGTGTTATCTCTTCTAATTAAACCTTCAAAACTACCTTATGAGGTGGGTGTTATTGCCCCACCTGACAGGTGAGGAAACAGGTTTAAAGATGCTAGAAAGATAGCAGTGGGACTCCAAATGGAAGTCTGTTTGATTCCAACTCATAACCTCCTATTGTGCTTTTATTTTTTAAAGCTCAATTTATTAATATATCTTTATTTAAAAATGCTTTTCTTTATTACTTGTTGATTAGATACTGCATTGACATGATTTAAAAATCAATAGGTTCATAAGGGGTCAGCATAAAATGTCTTTCTCCCACTGCTGTTCCCCAACTACCCAGCCTCCATCATACACATAACTGGCAGAGTTATTTTCTTGTGAATCTTCTGGCCATGAAATATGCATGTGGCAGCAAAAACAAGAAGGATGAGATATCAATATTGATATCTCTATCAGTCTATATAAATATAGAAGAGCAGTGACTAGATCAGTTCTAACAGTATTCTGAGAGGGGGAAATGACTACAAGAGGGCAGTTAAGGCAAGCAGGTTAGGGCTCAACAAAAGGCAGAACTTGCCTACAGGGCTGCTAAATTGGGAAGGCTGGATCGAAACCTCCACCAACTTGGAACTGGAAAGCATTGGCTGAGGGCATCACCTCCAAGAGCCGGCCTCTCTCAGGCATTCTCCCTGTCTGGACCCTTTCCCAACAGCCCATCTGTGACTGCTAGTCCTTGAGAACATTCTAGATTCACTTTGATTTCTCCTTCCTCACACTACTCTTTTGACTTCTCTGAATGTGGTTGGGGCCTTTTTCACTCTTGTTGGGAGGACTACAAGGAGCCCAGTTATTGGAGAGAAGGAGTCCTCTTTCTCTTTGCAGTGAGTAAATGTAAGCTCGCATGTGAACACCGACACATTTACACATGAGAGTGAGCACACATGTGCAGAGGTGTGGACAGAGGCTGGGTAGCATGGGTCATGTCATGATTCCTGAACTGACTTACCCATATTTTCATCTGCTGCTTTTTTTAAACTTGTAGGTGGGGATGGAGGCTTTTTCCTTCTGCGTCTGAGTGTGGCCTCTCCAGAAGACCTCACTGACCCTAGAGTGGCAGAGAGGCTGATGCAGCAGGTGAGTGGGCACTTTCTGGGCCAAGAAAGTAGAGGAGAGAATTAGGAACTAAGTTTAAGGATCCCTGCTTGGCTTGGCTTCTGTCTGTTTTTCCTGAGTTGGGAATTCCCCTTCTGTGCTATGTAAAGAAATTCTTTCCTTCACCCCCAATTTCCTCAGGCCCTAAGAAGGTCAGGCCTTCTGGCCCTTGGGAGAAGATCAATGATATTAATGGGCAGATAGGCAGGACTTCGGGTTACAAGTAGCAGAAATCAACCCATTGTAGCTTACACAGAAAAGGCAAGGCATTATTGGCTGAGAAAACTAGAAATGACTGCTCCAGCTTCAGTTATGGCTGTATCCAGCAGCTTAGACATGATCATCAAGATTTTCTCTTTCTCTACCTCTCTTAGCTCTTCATTGTTCAGAATCTCTCTTCATATGTACATAAAGGTGGCTGTGACAGCCCTAGAGTCACAGACACTTCCCTCTCCCAAGGTCTGCTTATTATACGAGGGAAACACTGATCTCATTGGCCTGCAAGGGCCACTATGAGTGACAGCTCAACCACATGGAATGAGAAGGACAGGCCCCAAAGGAAATAGGAATGCTAGGCAGGAAAACACCCCATAGATGTATGCTCCAGATGGGGACCAAGATTGGGGTATATTTGTATAAGTTGGGAAAATTCTCCTAAGACCCAGATCACTGGACAAAGCTTCCAATGGTGGAATTCTGGGGTCAGAGATTATGGGGATAATATGAATCACTGGAAGGTTAAACTAGGTCAGCTCAGTCTAGCTCTTGTGGCCACATCTTGCTGCTAGGGGATGAGAAGAGGAAGTATCTGGGCTCTTAAAGTTCTCTTAGTGGAAAGGGGCCCATCAGGACTCCCATAATGAGATCTCTAAGCACAGCATGGGGGTTTTGAATTGGGACAGCCAAAGAAATGACAAATGCCTACTGCACTTGATAATCAAAGTAGCAAGTGTGAATCCTAGTCAAAGAGGGAAGCCAGAATGATGCCAGATCTGAGTCCCCCAGACTGGAAACTATTTCAGGGTTCAGAAAGAGGCCAGGGAGAGAGAACAGGTCAGGAGCTGAGGCATAGGAATCAGGCCATGTAGGTGTTGGGCACGAGCTCTTGTCAGGAGCGGGACACTGATGTAGGGCTCAGGGTTCAGGACTCAGACAAACAATAAGTTTGGAGCCATATAGATCTGAGGGTGAATTCCAGTTCCTAACTGTGTGACCTTGGGTAAGTTACTCCATATTACTTTCCTCCCTTATAAAATGAAGTGAATACTACCTGCTTTGTAAGGTTATTGTGAGGTTAAATAGCACTGTGTGCATGAAGCACCTAGTGCATGCCTAGCCGGTGGGGGGCCCAGGGAGTGTTGCTGGCCTCCTCCTACGTTCTCTCTCACTGTCCCTTCCTGTCCTTGGCCTGTGGTGAACTCATAGGCCAGGTGGGCTGGAAGTACCACCTTCTCCTTTTGCCCTACAGCTCCTCCATGAACTGCATACCCACATGCCTCCCATCCAAGTGTCTCTGCTGCGTGTCAAGAAGGACTAAGGAACATCAGCTGTGGCCAGGCATGGTTGTGTGCCAAAGGGGGAAGTGCTGCTGGTGGTCTGGGCCCCCAATAGACTAGAGCCAAGTTACTGTGCTGAGATATACCTGGGAGCTTCCCAGGAGGTCAGCTGGCCTAAGCCCTTTTCCCAGACCTGGCAGCAGGACCCTGACTCACATATGCCTGAGTGTGTGGGGGTCTGGGTGGGGGGTGTTCCAAAGATGTTCTTGGACTTCCTTTGGCACATGTGTTGTGTTTCAGTAAAGAGTGACTTGATCACCCATCTGTCACCTGCTTTGTGCTTCCATTGGACATTAATATTATATTCAGTGTGGCCCAGAGATTAGCTATTTTATCAGTATGGGGTATGTGTGGGTTTGTTTGTTTGTTTTGATATTTATATGATACAGGGATTTAGGGCATCTTCCCTTTACCTCCCTCCTTCATTCTCCCCTGGTTCTCAGTTTGGACCTTGATTATAACACTTGCTGAGGTTGGCCCTGGAGCCTTTTGAACTTTGAACTCCTTTGGAGCAGGGACCATATTTATCTTAGTATCCCCTGAACCTAGCAGAGTGCCTGGCCTGTAGTAGGATGACAGAGAATGTTTGTTGAATTGACCTGAATTTCAAATTCTGGACACAAACAGATCACAAGAAAGTCTGTAATACTCAAGTATTCCTTCCTCTAGCTCATAAGTCAAGTTATTATTATTTAAAAAAATAAATGTGGCTAATCTTTATTCTATTGCAAAAAAACTTGCTTATGATTTTCAAATTTTGAAAATTTCAAAAGGGTGGGGTGCCTGGGTGGCTTGGTCGGTTGAGCGTCCAACTTCGGCTCAGGT